AGTCAGCACATGAACTGGGAGCAATCCTTGTCTTCTCAGAGACAGGATTTCAATAAGGGACTCCTCACCTGGTTTGAGGGAGCAGGTGCCGGGCTCTAGGATGAAGATGGATCAAGACTACATTCTTGCCGAAACCCGTTTGGCTCAGTGGATAGAGCGTCGACCTGTGGACTGAAAGGTCCCAGGTTCGATTCTGGTCAAGGGCACGTACCTTGGTTGCGGGCACATTCCCTGTAGTGGGTGTGCAAGAGGCAGCTGATCGATGATTCTTTCTCATTGATATTCCTAACTCTATCCTCTCTGTAAAATTCAATAAAATACATTTAAAAAAAAAACAAAACATTGCATTCTAGCCCTGGGAGGCTCAGTGTCTGAAGGGAGCCATGCCCTCGGTCAGTGGCCCCATTGTCTGGAGCTGGGAGAAGCAAATTTTACTCCCTTCTTGGCCCCTGATGACTGTATGACCTTGAGCAGATCCAACCCCTGCTCTGGGTCATGGGTAGCAAAACCATCTAATTGCTTGTCCAAGTGTCCCAGTTTGGACAAGCAATTAGATGGTTTGGACAAGCAATTAGATTCCCAGTTTGGAGTCTGTGCCTCCATTTACCCACTGCATTTGCACAGGCGGTCTGCATTTCTGCTTCAGGGATATGAACACAAGTGGGCCTTCAGCTGCTTGGAAGAACCCCTTTCTCGTTGAGCCCAAAGAGAAACTGCAGCTAGAGGAGGCCCCCTCTGTTTTTTTGTTTTTGTTTTTTTTATGGAGGGACCAGTGTTGATTGACAACATACACTGTAGCCCTAGGAACCTGGGGGACTCAAAACTTCCCTCTCATGTATACAGACACTCCAGCCAACATTTCCAGTGATGAAGCAATGCCCCAGACCTCAACAAGGGTGCCCGAGGCCCCTGGAGTCTGCTCAGAGTCACTGGTAGAGAGGGCTGTGACACATTTTCCAGGCCAAGCCTGGAGACCAAGGGTTCTTGTTGAATGGGGTTGCTTAATAGTTGGTATTTATAAGTGCTTGGAGTGTGTCTATTTAATCTGCAACCCTTTTACATTTAAAGGACCTGAAATCCAGAACAGTCCAGAAAGCTGCCGAGGTTATCTAGGGAGAAAGCAGAGAAGCTGGTGTTCGCATGCCAGTGTTTTAGCCTTCAACAACCTTACTCCTGCTTGTGTTTCTCAAAGCATGCCAATGAGGTAGGCAAGGTGATTTTAGTTTACAGATAGTCAAGTTGAACAAGAACAAAACCACAATTGGCACAAAGAGCCGTGATGTTGAAGATATCATAGCTTAGAATGTAAAGTGTACTGTATATTTAAATGAGAGGTCAACTTTGTGAAAATACTAAGGTGATAGGTGGACACAGCCCACCTTGAGGAAGGCTAAATTTGGAGTGCAGGTCCTAGCTTTGACTTGTAATACTTTGGATTGGGTTCAGAGTGCCTCTGAGCCTGTGACCGAAGTAGCAGTGTCCTGTTTCATGTCATCTGTGCCTTTTAGCCCACCATGGTCCTCCCAGGACAAGGGCACCAGTGTTATAATCTGCTTGGATTGACTGAGATTACTGATCTGAATCCTGCCAACTCTATTATATTTATTGGGCACTCAGAGTTTCCAGCCAACCCCTGTATTACTCTGAGATTTTAGCATGAAATAGTAAATATGCTATGTTTGGGTTTTTGTTTTTTTTTCAAGTGTACTTAGTTGCCAAACACTTTCCAATTGGTCTGAGATCTGCTCATCTTTCAAATACTAAAAAATAAAAATAAAAAAATATGCACTTAAGAGTAATGGTTCCCCCAGGACAACATGAGGACCTATTCTTGGAGAATTCTGGATTATTTCTCACCCCCATGGCTGCTCAGGAGGCATTCCTGCAGGTGGGGGCTCACGGGTCATGAGTTCTAACCCTGTTTGACCCTCTAAACACCTCAGGGTCCCGGAGGCAGGACTTGGATCCTGGGATCTTAGAGAAGCAGTCGTACTAGTGATGGGGTTGGGAACAGAGACGGGGCCATAATCATCTGACAAGCCAGCAAGCGGCTGCAACGCAAGCGACAGGAAATCCGCTGAAGTCAGCCCCTTTCTGGGGGTCAAAGCAGAATGCCCAACAGCACCTGGCCCCTTCCTCTCTCTGGGCGGAGTGCTTGCTCCCCAGAGCCAGAGTCTGCCCAGCAACAGCCCCATCCCACTTGCCTTAACACAGGAGAGAGGAATCTCGTATTTGCACTTAGCAAAAGATTTTAAAATTTAAAAAGAAGAGATTTTAAAATTTAAAAAGAAGAGGTGCACGGCTTTGTATAAAAATAGCAAAAATGATTACTAAATGTTTTTTTGTAGTTTCTGGAAGTAAAAAAACACATAAAACAATCCTGTTTTAACTACTGTGTAAAAAGCCTCTATCATATATACCTTGGATTTTTGAAAATAAAAGTTTGTGCACGCTGAAAAAAAAAATGCTCTTTTATGATAACCAATTACCAGAATCTGTGGTAATCATCTTTAAGGTGCACAAAGTTAAATGAGAGCACATTATTTCTGTGCTTCTCAAACTAGATACATATAAGGAGCATGAGGTAACCTAAGATAGCATGATTCACCTTCCTAGAGGATATGAGTTGTATACTCGTATAATACAATACCTGGAAGAGGAAAAATTCTTGCATTACAATTATTTATGGAACTAGAACACAACGCTTGTGATAAAACACAGCATCCAATCCCTTCAATGTCATGATTGAAGTGAGTTTTTGAAAAAAGCAGAAAGTTCTGTGAAAAGCACAGCTGTATTTATACAGACATACCTCATTTTACTGTGCTTCACAGATGTTGCTTGTGTTTGTTTGTTTTTTTACAAACTAAAGGAAGAACCCTCCACTAGCAAAAACATTATAACTTATTTTGTTGGGGTGGTCTGGAACTAAACCCCCAGTATCTCCAAGTTGTGCCTATATGGCTGGGCCTGATTACTATGATATTTCTTTTTATCTCATTTTCTACTGATTGTGTTACTTTAGTTTGATAAAATATTTCAAGTGTCCTGCTTACTGCTATCTTACCTAAAGGTATTTTATTACTTAAGTGAATTATGCCAATATTAGTAACACAGACTTTAAGAACAAAGTTGATATCTATTTTATTAGCAGGAGCAAAGAAATTACAATTCTATTTTTATTTTCTTTTAAAATTCAACTGAAGATGTCTTATATGTACCTGCATACCTTATTGTATCTAGCAGCATATGGTCAGAAAGTGATTTCTAAATTGAATTAACATTTCATTTTTCACTGAAATAAATATTATTGTATTTCAACAGTTACTTAAATCTCTTTGATCTCACTTTACCATCTAAAGGCAACAACATCACGGTTGAGACACACACTAGATCTGTTCAGCATATTTCTGAAACTCTTAATTTCTGCAACTCAATAACAGTAGCCAACACTCAGCGTCGACTTATTCTGAGTCATGACCTGATCTAAGACAGATATTAACTCGTTTACTCCTCCCAAAAACTCTCCAGGGAAGGTATTTCCCCAGTTTTACAGAGATTAAGTAACTTGCCATGATAACCCAGCAGCTGATGCTGTTCTACAGTGCCTTTCACATGTTCCATCTAATGTCAGTCCATTGTTCATGGGGTCGGTCCACAAATTATGAGGCTTATAGTCTCAGTATTTCTCACAGAAAAACAGGCTCTATGAAAAAAAATGGCATACTTTGTAAGCTTAAAAGTGTTACATAAATATCCAATAGCTTATTAAAAACTATTGAGATATCTATACTAAAAAAAGATCAAAATGACAGATGGTAAAATGTAACCCTTACCTCTTCTCATCATATGGTTTGGGAATTGAAATCTATTTTTTTCTACTATGAAGAAATTCTCCCTACTGTCAGTGAAATAAAAGTGCAGTGCAAACCGTGGGGACATCTTAACCTACTTCTTCTTCCTTCGTTATACTCAGAAATGGCCAATCTGAATTGTTAGCTGCCCACGTACTGTTGGTTTAGAATGTCATATTTAAGGCTTTAGACTATTTTTCCTTTAGTTTTCTGCTTTCACTGTGAAACACTGCAAGCATAATCTCTGATGAGTTTTAAAATTTTCAGCAGGTTGGAAAATCATAGAAATGGAAAGTTACCCCTAATGTATTTTAGTATTTTTAAAAATATTTTTTCATTGATTTCAGAAAGGAAAGGAAATGGAGAGAGAGAGACAGAAACATCAGTGATGAGAGACTCATTGGTCGGCTGCCTCCTGCAGGCCCCCAATGGAGATCGGGCCTGCAACCTGGGCTGGTACCCTGACCGGAATCAAACCCTGACCTCCTGTTTTGTAGATCAAACAATATTCAACCACCGAGACACATCAGCTGGGTACATATTTCAATTTGGAAACTGAAGTTCATAGAAAGTCATAAAAATTGATTTTAAGTCAGATTTATTGATTGCCTATAGTGTGCATGGTCCTCATTAGACATAACGAAATTCAGGCACAAAAGTCACAAGATCCCTGGCCTCAGGAATCTTATGATCTAATTTAGTGGTCGGCAAACTCATTGGTCAACAGAGCCAAATACCAACAGCACAACGACTGAAATTTCTTTTGAGAGCCAAATTTTTCCAACTTAAACTTCTTCTAACGCCACTTCTTCAAAACAGACTCGCCCAGGTCCTGGTATTTTGTGGAAGAGCCACACTCAAGGGGCCAAAGAGCTGCATGTGGCTCGCGAGCCGCAGTTTGCCAACCACCTCTCTAATTAGAACACAGATTAGAAATAAAAGACAGACAAGTTACGTGTCAATGCTCACTTGCTAGGATGGATGTTAAAGAGCAGTAATTTAAGTAAATCCAAAACGGCATCTAATCCTAAAATCATTTATAAAATGTATTTGGCCTTCAAGTCCACGGCACTTCAAGCACAATAATTAAGTCTCACTGCAGATAAAGTCACAAAGACGCAAATACTCCGAAACCCTTCAGAGCATTTACTGACGACTCTTGTGATGATGGATCTTCTGCTTTCTCCTTATTATCGTTCGCAGCCTCCGTAATACCAGCTTGTCAGACAGAAGCATGTCATCTTGTTGTTCTAGATAATCCAGTAAATTTTCAGTCCATTCAAGTGCAGCTTTATGGCTAATGTGCTTCTCTGGATGCACGTCTGTCTTCCTGGTCTTGCTGGGAGGCTTTTGCTCAGCAGGCTTGGACTGGTCCTCCACACCTTCACTGTCACTTAGCACCCGGCAGCTGGAGTCACTACTCTGAGAGTCAAACCACTGGTCAATATTCTCAATGTCAACGTGTTCACAGTCTTCTGTGTTCTGTAAAACCGTTGCTAAATTAGCTGCAAAAATGGCTCCTTCATCCATGCTCAGGCTCGAATTCTCTTCATTGCCAGGTAAAAGCTTTTTCCAAGCCCTGGCTATGGTGCTTGACTTCACCATGTTCCAAGCTCTGGATACTTCATAAATTGCATCCAACACTGTCAAGTTCTTCCAAAACATTTTTGGATCAGTTCCTTCATCCATGTATTTCTGGAGAAGCCCTGCTCGGTAGTATCTTTTTACCATGGCTAGAACGCCCTGGTTCATCGGTTGAATTAGACTGGTGACGTTCGGTGGCAGATACTTCACAGTTATTCTGCCATCATCGGAGCTCAGCGACTCTTCCTGTGGATGTGCTGGAGGAAAATCCAAAAGCAGCACTGCTTTTTCCAGAAGCCCTTTGGATTTCAAATGCTTCTGCACCTGCGGCACAAAGTACTTTTCAAACCACTGCCTGAAAACTGAATGTTCTATCCACGCGCTTTTCTGACTGAAGTAAGTGACAGGAAAGTTGGAAAGGTCAGCTCCTTTGAATGCACGGGGTCTTTTTGCTTTCCCCACAACACAAAGATTCAGTTTGTGTAAACCTGTGGCATTTGCACAACACATAATAATGATCCTCTCTCTGCTTGACCTATAACCAGACGTATTTTGTTTAGTTTCAAGAACTAATGTCCTGGATGGTAAACATTTCCAGAACAGCCCCGTTTGGTCAGCACCATAAATCTGCTCTGGTTGTAGATTCTCTCTTTCAATAAATTCCTGAAAGCTGCCACAAAATTCGCTGGCAGCCGCTTCATCTCCTTTCAGTTTTGTTCCTTGACTAGCAGCCTTGGGAATACCATGGCGCTGCTTAAACCGAGTTAGCCAGCCAGACGATGCACTGAAATCACCTTCCATCCCTAACGCATCAAAAAAGAACTTGGCTTGTTTTGCACAAATTGCTCCAGACACTGGAATCCCATCTGTTTTCTGTTGGTTAAACCACTCTATCATAACTCTATCAAGTTCCTCGTATGTGGATGACTTCATAGATTTACGTCTGGATACCCCGCTTGTAGGATCTGAGTTGCTTGCATAGCTTATTATTCTATCCTTATTCTTTTTAATATCGCGAACGGTGGATTCACCAATTCCATACACCACAGAGAGTTTTTTGAAAGAGATGCCTTCCTCAAGTTTCTTAATAATGTCAAGCTTGTCCTTAATTGTCAACACCACACGCTTACGTTTCCCCAACATTTTAATGACTAATGTATTAGGCAATTACTAGAACAAGATATTTACCAACCTTGACTTGAACAAAATGAGACTAGAAAATTGGGCTTTAAAAATCCCTGTCCAGTCTCCCTTGGACCTAGACGGATAAGTGTGCTGGCCAATTTTTAGGCAAGGCCTATATGATTCCCTTTGCTGTTTTAAAACTCACAAAATCCCTCAACAAGGACTAGCTCCAATGAACCCTAGCTTCTTTCTTTCCCCTCATTTAGTTTAAGTTTTTTGTTTTGTTTTGTTGTTGTTTTTTTTCATGGACTACAGCCTCGAAGGAGATTACAACCAATGCTGTATCAGCAAGTTCTCTCACAGTCTTATTGCGTAGTCAGTTCTTCTTGCCATCATTAGAGCTGAGGTTATTACAAAAGACTAAGGCTCAGGTGGGTTATTTTGGGAAATGTGCTGGCGAAGAAATAGTTTAAGAGAGGACTTGCATACTTGACCTACGGGAAAATGTAATGGGAACACTCATGCCCTGACTGTTCTTTCTCAAGCAGCACGCTGTATGGAATGCTGCCTCTTCCAGGCAAGGACTGTTACAGGTTATGCAAGTGAGAGGTTATGGAAATCATAAGCAAGCATGGTAAGGCAGGCTGGGCAGAAGTGAGCAGCGCAAATAAGGCAAAGGTAGATAGGCAGAAAACTGTACATTATGAGGACACAAACTTATACCTAATGTATTGAGCCAGAAAGGGAAAAGGGTAAGACAATAGGTGGCGTCACATGATTACAGAAATAATCAAAAAACTTCGCCGGTGGAAACCAGGACTCATGGTAGAGGGTATGGGGTGAAAGGCTCGGTGATGATGTTATACAATGATCCTGGTGAAGAGTTTTCTTCGGTGGGCCAACAGAAGTACTGCCGTTCTGCAGAGGTATTCGGAGCCTCAGAAACCTAAAGGAAAATACCAAAAAAACATTTTGTTTCCAACATCAGGGTCTGTAGCATTATCCTGAAACTCTGTTGAAAATATCAGCGTCTCTCACTAACGTGATGGCTAGTAATGCTTTAAAAGGCGTTATCTAAAGTGACGGAGAGCGGGACCTGAATTGCCTACCTCCTGAAATTCAGAGGTCAGCGTGCAGCGGTGCAGGCGCGGGCGTCCGTCCGCAGGGCGAGCGGGAGCGCGGGACGTCTCTGCTCGGCGGAGGGAGCGGGGGTCCGCGCGTGGCCGCCGGCGAGCGGGTGTCACCGCCGCCGCAGCCCGCGGGCGAGCGGGCGGCTGCTCGGCCCGGGGGACGCGCGTCCTCGCGCAGGGGGCATCGCTCCCCGCTGCCTGCGCAGAGCCGAGAGCAAATGGAGTCTCTGGAGGGAGGCGGACACGGGTGGCGCGGCGGCGGCGGCAGCCCGGAGCGAGCGTCGCCGGAGCCGGAAGGCGGGGGATTAGGGTGCACGCGCGCGCCCCCGCAGGAACGTTGTGTCGCCGAGCGGGCGGGGCCTGGGCGGGCGAGCGCGCGGGTCACTAGCAGTGGGCGGGGCCGGGGCGGGGACAGGGGGTGTGGTCGCTGACAGAGGGCGGGGCGGGGCGGGGTGGGGCCGGGGCGGAGTCTCTGGCAGCGGGCGGGGGCGGGAAGGGGCGGGGCCTGGGAGGGGTCGCTGACAGAGGGAGGGGCGGGGCCGGGCTGGGGGCAGAGTCTCTGGCAGCGGGCGGGGGCGGAAAGGGGCGGGGCCTGGTCCCGGGGCGTGGCCGGGGAGGTGTCGCCGACAGCGGGGGGCGGGGCCGGAGCCGGGGCCGGGGGGCGGGGCCTGGGGTAAAGTCGCGGACGAGCGGGCCAGCGTGCGCGGCCGGGGGCCGGGCCGGCGGCTGCAGCGATTCTGGGTGCCGCGTGGGTTCCGCTGGTGGCCCGGCTCCTCCAGCCCGCCAAGTGCCTCGCGGACCAGCAGGCGGCGGTAGAGGCTCACCGTACTTCGGCCCTCCTCCCAGGGGGCCGGCTCGGAAAGCCAGGCTTCCTCCCCGTTCAGGTGGAAGCCGGTTTGCACCCTCGGCGGGCTCGCGAGAAAACCGAGCATCCTCCCCAGGCGCCGGGAGCCGGATGCGGACGGGGCAGGGCGAGCGCACGTGGAGCGTGTTTACAAACAGAGGCCGCGGCGCCGGCCCCGCAGAACTTGCGGGAGCGAAGGTCGTGAGGCCAGGTAGGAACGCGGGGCGGGGGTGCAGGGAGGCGGGCTCCCGGTGGGGAGCGGGGGAACAGGTTCGGAAGAGGAGCTGGGGCTTCCACTCTGCACCACCCAGCGACCCAGTCCTGGGTGGCTGGGGCGCAGCGTGGGGGGCGGCCGAGCTGGCCGTGAGCCTCTACGCTGGCGGGATGCTCTAGGGTTGAAGCCGTGGTCTCCGTGGAAGCGGACCTTGTGCATAACGCACTGCACCTGGGAGGCTTGTCAACTGCTCCCTGGTGACTTTCCTGCCGCCCGTTTACTCCGCTTGCTTCTCAGTAGTAATTAGGGGGTTCGGTTTGACAAAGAGTCCCTGGATTTGTTTGGAACGTGTGAAGCTGCCACACGTTTTCATTTTGGCATTTTAAATGGAGCGAATGGCAAGCAGGCACCTGTGCACTAGTCATCCCAACAGCGGGAGCCTCCTTCTCCGTTCTCAAGGACGCAGTTGCCTGCGGGCCCTCTGAGCCTTCCTGGGAGAAGGGAGCGGCTGCCCCCTCGTCCTGCGGCACCGTTTACCCAAGAACCACGGTGAGCCTGAGCCTCTCCTTTTCCTCTTTTTTTTTTTTTTTTTTAAGAGGTGGAAAAGTTCCACCCAAGTTTCTCTAGCATCGGAACATAAAGGACTAACCGTTGTCGTTAACACAGCACAGTAATTTCGTCATTTATCTGCGAAGACCAAATTGAATGTTTCAAAGGGAAATTGACAGGAGCATTCTATACTGCAGAAAAGAGATGTTGATTCTAAGCCTGGTAACTAACTCTCCCGCCCAAATTGCTCAATTGCCTTCCTCAAAATCACAACTTGCTCTGATTAGGCATTTTGGAAAATTCTCTGATCGCCTAGCTATGCTGTGTAGTGGGTTTTGACAAATGCCTGTTTTATGTTTTTTGTTTGTTTTTTTTTGGGGGGGGGTGTTTGTTTGTTTGTTTGTTTGTTTGTTTTTTCTGGTTAAATTTCCTCTCCCGCCTCCCCATATATTCCAGTTTCTGCAGCTTTGGTTGACTATTTTGGGTAAAATACAACTTCATGCTACCTTTATATCACTTTTTAAAGTGTGCCTCTGCCTTGATATTTGTAAGAAGCCTGAAAACAGTTGTATCTAATGCAATCAATGTATCTCCTCCATAAGGGAAGGGAGCTGTTGACTAACTACCCACCAAAGGCCGGTAACCAGATGTTAGCAGCCTTTCTGCCCTACCCTTCCAGCCTACTGAGGTCACTCTGGCCCACGATGTATAAAAAAAATAACCCTGCTTCTTATCTCTGTCTCCCAATATCTTTGAGGTTTCATTTTCTTCCATATATCACTTGCATTGTTTCTCTGTTTTTGCTGGATTTCCCAGCCTGCTGGTGTCTTGTCTCTTATGCCTTACTTCACCCTGTGAAAGTTCCAGTTTGGAGCACAGCCCACCTTTCTTGATTCCTCAAAATACCATTTCATGCGAGGCAGTTGTGTTACCAAACATTTAACAAGACTTTACCCAAGACAGCTGTGTCTTTACACAAGGTAGTTTTAGCCAACAAACTTCCCTTTCTGTTGGAGAGCGGGGGTGGGGTCGCAATGTGGCAAATTTCTATTAGGGTACAAGATGGGGTGGTGGGGTTTGAACTAGAATTTGGGGGCATCTTTGTTTTAAGAAGAGGCTGGTTAGCCACAGAGAGCTTCTTTCTCTTTAGGAGATGGTCTTTCCTTTCTCTCCAGCATTCTATATCAGGTCTCCTTCCTCCTTCCTTCTCTCAGCTGCTTGTGCATCGTAAGATTCTTTTTCTTGCCAGGACCGGTTTGGCTTAATGGATAGAGCGTCGGCTTGGGGACTGAAGGGTCCCGGGTTCGATTCCTGTCAAGGGCATGTGCCTTGGTTGCGGGCAGATCCCCGGTGTGGGGGTGTGCAGGAGGCAGCTGATCAATGACTCTCTCTCATCGATGTTTCTAACTCTCTATCTCTCTCCCTTCCTCTCTGTACAAAATCAATAAAATATATATATATTTTTAAAAAGATTCTTTTTCTTTTGTAGAGCAGTTTGTATTCTTTATGTTTCTTCTAACTGTCCCCTTATCATTTGCTTTGGTCTGTTCTCTAATCAAAAGACATTTCACTCCTTGGGCAATTCAGCCACCAGTATTTCTTTCTTTTTAATCCTTGCAACAGTGCTATGAGGTAGATGATACCTCTATTTATGTACAAGAAGACAAAGCCTTAAAAAAAATAAGTATATGAATTGATCAAATGGAGGTGGCAGAATGAGATTGAACCAAGTCTATGAGGCTTTAAAGCACCATGCTCTGCCTACATGATCATAATCAAGGTATTTTTGTCATTAACCTACCAAAGAGGCTTTCTGGTAGTGAGAGCACGTTAAGTCTAAAGAGCATTTATCAGGCTGAGCCTTTAGTTCATTGAAATGTGGGTTTCCTGAAAACTACTCCCAATCAACTGAAAGTAACTTATGTTTCTCATGATTACAATATCCAAATTCCCTTTTCTGCTAAGAAAATGTCGATATAAATACATTATGTAGCCTCATTTTTAGTATCTTTCTTTATTCACAATAGTTTTGTAATAGAATAGGACAAATCTAAATTCTTAATTTTAAATTCTTAATTGTTTTTTGTTTTGTTTTGGGGGTTCCATTTACTTGAAAAATGAATGATTTTCACACACACACACACACACACAAAAACAAAACAAAAAAAAAACGACACCAACATACATTTGTTTTCACCTGCATTTAAAGAACATAAAAATGTAAGGGCATTTTCCAACTAAAATACTTAGATTTGGGGTGGGGGGGGGGGGGTACATGCGC